AGGGGGGTGGGGGGATGGGTTAGCCTGGTGATGGGTATTGAGGAGGGCACGTTTTGCATGGTGCACTGGGTGTTATGAACAAACAATGAATCATGGAACACTGCATCAAAAACTAATGATGTAATATATGGTGATTAACATAACAATAAAAAATTAAAAAAGAAAAAAAAAAAAAAACCCATGTCGGGCTCCATGCTCAGCAAGCAGTCTCCTGGAGATTCTCTCTCTCCCTCTGCCCCTCCCCCTACTCTCTCTCTCTCTCTCTCTCCCTCTCTCTCTAAAACAAACCAAAAAAACCAAACATGCTACACAGGATTGTTGACTGTGGCCACCATGCTATCTGCCACATCTACAGGACTTATATATTTCATAACTGGAAGTTGGTAACTTTGGCCCCTTCACCCATTTTGCCCACCCCCAAGCCCTGCCTTGGCAATGACCAGTCTGTTCTCTGTGTCAATGGACTTGGTTTTGGGGTGTTGTTGTTGTGTTTAGATCCCACATGTAAGTGAGATCACATGGTGTTTGTCTTCCACTGCCTTGTTTCACTGAGCATGACAATCACAACGTCCATCCCTGTTTCTGAAAATGGCAAGATTTCCTTCTTTTTATGGCTGAGTAATATTCCATTGTCGATATACACCACATCTTCTTTATCTATTCATCTTCAGTGGACACAGGTTTCTTCCATATCTTGGCTGTTGTCAATAGTGCTACAATAAACATAGGGGTGCAGGTACCTTTTAAATTTAGTGTTTTCATTTTATTTGCATAAAGACCCAGAAGTGGAATTACTGGATCATAGTGTAGTTCTATTTTTAATTTTTTGAGGAACCTCCATACTGTTTTCCAGAGTGGCTGTACCAGTTTGCATTCCCACCAACAGTACACAAGGGTTCCCTTTCTCCACATCCTCGCCAACATCTGTTGTCTCTTGTCTTTTTGATTCTAGGTATTCTGACAGGTGTGAGGTGATACCTCATTGTGATTTGTATTTCCCTGATGGTCAGTGATGTTGAGTATCTTTTCATGTGTCTGTTGACCATCTGTAGGTCTTTTTTGGAAAAATGCCCATTTCTTAATCAGATTGTTTTTGTTTGAGTTGTATAAGTTCTTTATATTTTTTGGATATTAATCCCTTATCACATAAACAATTTGCAAATATTTTCTCCCATGTAGTAGGTTTCCTTTTCATTTTGTTGATGGTTTCCTTGGCTGTGCAGGAACTTTTCAGTTTGATGTAGTCCCACTTGTTTATTTTTGCTTCTGTTGCCTTTGCAAAGACCTCATTTTTATTTATTTTTTTCAATAATGTCTACACCCAACATGGGGCTCAAACTCATGATCCCGGGATCAAGAGTCACATGCTCTACCAACTGAGCCCACCAGGTGCCCTTGCAAAGATCTCATTTTTAAAAATGAAATATTAAAATTAAATATGGGGACAGTTTTGGTACCAAAAACTACAGCGAAGGTGGGAGAGACCCCTGGATCCATCAATTACATATGGTTAAAAGATAATTAGAAACATAATAAATCCTGGAACTGTTCCTTTTTACAGGTAATAAACAAGATGGGGAAGAAGACAAATTTAGAAACTTAGAAAGGCATCTGTTGGATGAAAGCCAACAGAGGGCCATGGATTCTCGAAGCACAAAAAAGACATCACTCCAGAGAAATGGCACAAGCAGAAACCAGGAAATGACCATGTGCCCAGCATCTTACCTGACCCTAGGCAGGTATATAAAGGGCTCCCAGTCCAGGAGGCTCCACACCTGAACACCTGTCCTCTGCACCTGCTCCTCTGACCTGCTCCACCCTCAACCCACCAGAACCATGGGCTGCTGTGGCTGTTCTGGAGGCTGTGGCTCCAGCTGTGGGGGCTATGGCTCCGGCTGTGGGGGCTGCGGCTCTGGCTGCTGCAAACCCATGTGCTGCTGTGTGCCAGCCTGCACCTGCTCCAGCTGTGGCTCCTGTGGGAGCTCCAAGGGGGGTTATGGCTCCTGTGGGGGCTCCAAGGGGGGCTGTGGCTCCTGTGGCTCCTGTGGTTGCTCCCAGTCCAACTGCTGTGTCCCCTGCTGCTCCCAGTCCAACTGCTGTGTCCCCTGCTGCTCCCAGTCCAGCTGCGGCAAACCCTGCTGCTCCCAGTCCAGCTGCTGTGTCCCCATCTGCTGCCAGTGCAAGATCTGAGGCCATGTCCGTGGAATTCAGGTGGCCCCCACAGATCCAGGATCTGTAGGAAACGACCAGTGCTCCACACCAAACCACTAATTGCAGATCTAAATCCATCTTTTCCAGAATTGGCAGCCCAAATCTCCAATCCCAGTGGGGTTGCTCCCCAGATTATGAAGGAGAAGTGCATCTATTCATACCTTTTGTCCTACTCTAGATTCCCCTGCCTCATTTGCCTTGGAGAAGAGCAATTTCCTCCCCCCTCAACAATTACAGTCCCCTCAGGACCCTGATCCCCAGAGTCATCACCCCCACCCCACACAAGGGACTTGGCTGAGCCTGGGAATACCACAAGGCCAATGACTGGAGTCCAGACCCGTGAGGTACTCACCACTCTTCCCACTCCCCCACACATCATCAGGCCCAACTCTGGCACTTCCTTCTAATTTACCTGTGCTTCTTTCACCTACTAAGGTCCAGATTGGACCTTGTGAGAGCTCTAAATAAACACATTTCTAACTCAAGCACCCTCTGTCTCCATGATGCTTCTTTAATAGATATTCCAATGGGAAATTTAAAAACATCTGTGCATTGTTGATGGGAGTAAAAACAGGTGCAATTATTTTTTCTGAAGGTAATTTGGCAATATTTACTCTGATTTCACTATTGTCAGTATTATTTTACTTGCTTTGGTGGCATTATTCAATATAATTATTAAAGAGAATGAAACACAAAATATAACAATTGAAAAGAGGAAGCAAAATTATCATTATTTACAGATGGTTCCATTGTATAACTGGAAAAAACAAAACAAGTCAAATGAAAAATACTCAAAATATAAATACATTCAGATAGAGGGCCAGGTATATAATTAACATGTAAAATTAATATCTCTCTATTCACACATAACAAACAGAAATATAATAAGAGAAAACCCACCCGTTAAATATGAGCCTTGTAAAAAATATTTTTGAAAGTCTATACAAAAAAGCAGCACTTCTAGTACTAAAAACTGAAACTGTCCACTAACAGCAGGGAGGAACATTTATTTGCGGCATAGTCACTCAGTGGGATACTGTGTGGCAATGAGAATCTTACAGACATAATGTTGAGTAAAAGAAGCCAGACAAGGACACCTGGGTGGCTCAGATGTTTAAGCATCTGCCTTCAGCTCAGGTCATGATCCCAGGGTCCTGGGATCCGAGACCCGCGTCAGGCTCCCTGCTCAGCGGGGAGTCTATTTCTCCCTCTCCCTCTCCCCCACCACTCATGCTCACTCTCTCTCTCATAAATAAAATCTTTTTAAAAAAAAGAAGAAGCCAGACAAAAGGGTATATATTATATGACTCCTTCTATATGAAACACACATGCAAAAACAAAAACAAAACAACAACAAAAAGGCTAATCTATTTCATTAAAGGTCAGGATAGGGGTTCCTTTAGTAGGGAAGTAGCTGGAAAGGGGACACGAAGAGAGTTTCTATTTCTAAATCTGAGTGCTGGTTACATGTGTGTTGCATTTGTGGAAATTCAGCAAGCTGACTTATGTTCAATTTTCTCCATGAATTTGTATTTCAGTAAAATTTTTAATAAAAGTCTTTAAAAATCTATGTGAAGAAAACTTGAATATACTGAGAGACATAAAAAGAGTCGCAAATAAAAGAATAGATAATTCTTATTTTAATAGGAAGTTTTAATTTATAATCAAATCAATTCTTCCTAAATTAACCTAGACATTTGATCTGCATAAATAACCAAAAAGGTATTTTAAGCAGCTTTGCTGATTGTAACATTTATACAGAAAACAATAGCCATGAAAATGCTAAAAAGGAAGGGGGCCAGATATCAAAAGTTATTACAAGGCTATGATAATCCAAACAACTTGACATAAACACATGAAAATCCAACAGATATATGTAGAAGAAAGAAAAGAGACACCAGAAAGAGAATCAAACATGCATGAGAAATACCTAATGAAAAAGATAGCATTTTAAATTTGTAAGAAAAAATACTGTTCCATAAATGATGTTAAAACAATTATGTAGGATCTAGGAAAATTAAAAATGAATGCTTACCTCACCTCTTAGTCCAAAAATAAAGTCCATACAGAGTAAAGGCATAAGCAGACATAGGGAAAATAACTAAAAGTAAATAGGAATTTTTAAGTAATATTGGAATAGGAGAGTTCTTTCTAAGCATGACACAAAATTCAGCTGGCCACTAAAGAAATGAGTGATAAATTTGGCGTAAAAGAAAAATAAACAGTAAAAATAGAATAAAATATCTGCATAGCAAAGGAAAAGTTTCTAACAATGTTAACTGATAATTAACAAAGAACAATCTGATGTCTGAGGCGCTGGCATTTGTCTTGCCTGACACACAGCACTGACTGGACTGGTGGCTTTGTTTAGAAGCCACTGCAAAAAAAAAAAAAAGCCACTGCAAGCATACACAATCACATGACACATTAGAGCCACAGTTCCAGAGCAGATGGCAGAGGGTTCCAGAGATTACAGGCTTCTGAGAAGCAGGGACAGAATGCTTAGAGAATTTGAGATGACTGAAAGCACACACACACAAACCCCAAGAAGACACATCCCTGGAAAAGGTTTGAGGGATCCTAGAACCTCTAGCTAGGCTAATCAGTGAATGTCCCCCACTGCACAAAGCCAGTCAGTAAAACTGGGAGGGGTGGTTGTTTTTTAAAATAACCAAGTCTCAATGACAATAATAAAAATGCAAGTCATACAAAGAAACAGGGAAACATGGACCAACCAAATGAATAAAATAAAACTCTAGAAACCAACCAACCCTAAAGAAATAGAGATCTATGAGCTGCCTGACAGAGTTTAAAATAAATGTCATAAAGATGCTCAATGAGCTAAAAAGAGAGCACAGAATGACAACTGAATGAAATCAGGAAAACAATGCATGCACAAAATGAGAATATCAACAAAGAGAATAAAATTAAAAAAAATAAATTCTGGAGCTAAAAAATACAATAACGGAACTGAAAAATTTACTAAAGGGGTTCAATTGCAAACTTGTGAGTTTGAAGGCAGGTTACTGAAATCAAGTCAGAGGAGCATGAAGAAAAAAGAATGAAGAAAAGTGAAGAGAGCCTAAGGGATGTATGGGTCACCAACAAGGAGATTGATATATACATTGTGGGAGTCCCAACAGCAGCAGCAGAAGAGAAAGAGGCAGAGAGTTTATATGAAGAAATAATGGACAAAAACGTCTAATCTGAGGAAATAAATGGACATATAAATTCAAGAAGCTCAAAGAACTACAGTCATATTAAATCCAAAAAGATCCACATTGAGATACATTACAATCAAACTGTCATTTGCAATTTTTCCCTTAGAAAATATTTCTTGAAGGCTAATTGGTAGGCAAATGGGTATGTACATTAAGTGCAGATAAATATATATTTTGAATTATTGATTTGTTTGATTAGTAACCACACATAGTAAATGTAGTACAGTCTATTGTTGCTGCACAAATTATCACAAACTTAATGTCTTAAAACAACACCAACTCATTATCTTACAGTTCTGGAGGTCGGAAGACTCACCAGATTTAAATAAAGGAGTCAGCAAGGCTGCGTCTCCCCTGGAGGCTCAAGGGAAGAATCCATTTCCTTGCCTTTTCTAGTTTCTAGAAATTGCCTGCATTCCTTGGCTCATCCTCTTTCCATCTTCAAAGCACATCACTCTGGTATCCAGTTTTGTGGTTATGTCTCATTCTCTGTCTCTCAAAGGACCTTCATATAAAGATTCCCTCTTATAAAGACCCTGGTGATTCCACTGGGTACACCAGGACTATCCAGCATAATCTCGCATCTCAAGACTCTTAACCACATCTGCACAATCTCCTTTACCATGTGAGGTAACATATTCATAGGTTCCAGGGATTAGGACACCCTTGGGGGTCTGGAATCCAAAACACCTAGGACATGGGATTTGCACTGGGAATGGATTAGGAGTGAAGGGAAAGGGACAGAAGAATAAGCACTGCTAAAGATGAGTTTATAATACAAAAAATTAAAAAATAAACTTTCATGAGCAAGAAGTATTTACAATAAACAGAAGGAGTAGGAACCTAAACTTGTAAAATAAAGGAAAAACAGTATGAAAAAAATGTCATAAACCACAAAACATAAGGAAGAACTGCATCCATAAAGAATAATAAACTTTTAAAAATAGATTTAAAAGAGTGTTCATAGAGAATTACCAACATGAAATATAATGTCACTAAAATTAAAAATCTAAAATTCCAGTTAAACAGAAAAGTACATATGATGCAGAGAGAATTGTTAAGCAGGAGAGAAATATCAAAGGAAATTAACTGGAACGCAGTATGGAAAAAAATTTAAATATGAAAAGACCCTTAAGACACATGAAGACTAGAACAAAAATGTTCAATATATATCTTATGTGAATTTTGGAAGAAGAGTATAGAGACAGTGGATAAAATTCAATATTTGGACCCAATAATCATCCAAAATCAATAAAAGAGTGCATTTCATATTGAATAATCACAAATCTAAAGCATGATAAATAAAAATATAAATAAATCCAAACCTAATCACATCATAGTAAAACCTCAGAATATAATGGCAAATAGAAAAATCATAAAAGGTATCAGAAAAAAACTTAACTAATAATTCAATTGACAACAAACTTCTCAATGAAAGGGCTAGGAGGTAAAAAAAAAAAAAGGGGGGGGAATTCAAATACTAAGCAGAAATTTCTGTCAACCTGGAATTCTATACCCACCTAAACTATCAGTCAATAATTAAGTATAAAATAAAGACACTTTTAAATTAGACTGACAGAGCTTACCCACCATCAGACCTCTGCAGTAGTAACTTATTCAGAATGTAATTCAGGAAGAAGGAAATTAAACTGAGAGGCAAGGAATAGGTTACTAAAGGCAACCATCATGTGAGTAAATATAAATCGTGCTGACTAACAAAAACAAATCATGACTGATTTGGGGGGTATTATAAACAAT